TTCATACATTCCTATTATGCAATCGTCTTCAATGTATCGTTGCCGTTTTGCCATCATTACTGTCATCGCTATAGTTTACTTATTGTAAATTATGGAAGCTCCCGGCGGCAGGAGTTATAAGAAAAAAAGGTAAAAACAAAGCATCCTACAGGTTCCGTGAAGACGGGGTATGAGTGCGTGTGAGCATAGGAAAGTGACCATGAGTCAAAAGAAAGGTACCAAGAGACAACGAAACTGGCAGACAAGTTTAGATTATTCCTGATCTAAAAATTTTTTTTGATACAACATACATATATGAAAGAAAAAAAAAAGGAGAAAAAAATGTTAGTGTAGCTGGGCTAGCTAGGCAGCCTATAGAAAAAAAAATCGACTCTACACTAGCCACACATCACAATGTGGACATGATTTTTTTCTCTTTTGTTCTTATTATCTTTCTTATTTATTCGTATACGCATTTTATTCTTTTAATACTTTCGCCATTTCGCTAATACTTCGTATTAGTTTTTATTAATAGTTAGCGTAGATTTAATTAAATTCGACTTTAAGTTATATTTCATATGTAAATAAACAAATAAATAAATACTGGCGTGAAACTTTTAATGATTTAATATATCGTCCCAAATGCTTCCCGCCAATTGTTATATCACACTGATACATAACAACATTGGGAATATCGGAAATTGTTCTGTTAACTTTCGTACTCTGGCGATCCATTCAGTGACTGTTTCGGCATTACGTAGCGACATATTTCAAATTCCACCAAATACTCATCTATAATACCCTGTAATTTCTCTCTTTCATTATATTAGTTTGGGGAAAAAGAAATCCATTATTTTTATATGAACTTCAGGACTTAATTTAACATGCTTCGGATTGTCCGATTTGGGTCAAATATGCACCGTTTTGTTGTATGATTTGTTGCCATTTTAAAGCTAACTTTAAAATGCCTCTCACATAGAAGTCCTGGTCTCTATTTGCAAAAAAACTCTAGTAGTCGATTTTCACAATCCTCCCTAGATTCCAATTTTTTATCATTAAAAAAATTTTTCAATGCAAGAAAAAGATGATAATCGCTTGGTGCCAAGTCCGGACTGTATGGCGGATGCATTAAAACTTCCCAACCAAGCTCCCGAAATTTCTGGCGAGTCACTGTAGATGTGTGTGGCCTAGCGTTGTCCTGGTGGAACACGACACCTCTCCTGTTGGCCAATTCTGGCCGTTTCTGGTCAATCGCTATCTTCAAACGCTCCAGTTATTGACAGTAGAGATCAGAATTTAGCGTTTGGCCATATGGAAGCAACTCATAATAAATAATCCCCTTCCAGTTCCACCAAATGCATAGCAAAACCTTCCTGGCCGTTTGAGGTGCTTCACCGCTTTTTGACTACGATCGTTTTCGCACAGAGTTATCGTATGTGATCCATTTCTCATCTTCAGTCACCATCCGTTTAAGAAATGGATCTATCTCATTCCGTTTGGCCAAGGCTTCGCAGATGGAAATTCGATCCATCATGTTTTTTTCTGTTAATTGGTGTGGCACCCAAACATCGAGCTTCTTTTTGAATCCAGCTTTGTGTAAATGGTTTAAAACTGTTTTATGGTCGATTTTTAGCTCCTGGGCGATGTTACGACTGCTAATATGTCGGTCAACTTCGATCATTTCTCCGATTTTATCGACATTTTCGACGACCGGCCTACCTGTGCGAGGTGCATCTTTAACATCAAAAATTCCTGAAAGGAATCTACGAAACCAAAACTGCACATAATTGGCTGTTACAGTATCGGAACCATAAAAACCATTCACAATTTTAGCCGCCTGGCTTGCATTTTCGCCTTTGTCAAAGAAAAACTGTAAAATGTACCGAATTTTCTCTTTGTTCACTTCCATTTTTAACACGCTGTAACTCGCAACTGAATGCACCAAACAAAAAACAGCAAAAGAATTGTTTTTACTGCGAAGTGTACAGTATGTAAATGTACAGTATCGGAAATTGTTTGATCGATACTTTACGAGAAATCTATCAGTGCAGCCATCTACCGAAAAAATAATGGATTTCTTTTTCCCCAAACTAATATGATATACCGAGTGCAAAAAAAACGTTTGTCAGATTAATTCAGGGGTTTGCATTTTGCTATTTTCTGCACATGATCAAGAACTGTAAAATGCAAACTTCAGTAATTTAATATGCAAGCATTGCCAGATAGATGTATCTGAGTTATCAAGCAATCTTACCACGACGGTCACAGTTTCTTGTTTTTCCGAATTCAGCCACCGATAATTGAACATCACCTCTCAATAGATATCCCTGTGAACGTGTTAAACAATATTATAACATACAAAGAAAGAGTCCTAGATGACTTATCAACCGTTCAGGCATTCCAGGCTCCATAATTGTGTCCATATTTTAATTACTTTCTAAACATACAAAATATAACAAGTCAGTTAAAATTCAGTATAAAAAATATCCCGATAGGCTAAGGCCATGAGGCCACTGTCTGATCATCGTACGCTTATAATTAATGGTGTTTTTATATTTCGCCTTATATATTACTTAATTGAATTTTACAAAGAAAAATTATAAAGAAATGGGAAATAACAGCGTGCATAACGAATAAATTCGATAATATAGACCTTTTTCTACCTAAAATAACAGTTTTCAATACAATATTATTGATTTATTTTGTAGCATTATTGATTTATCGTCATCTACCCATTCAATAATCATTTATGCTTAATTCACACTTTATTATATTTCCACATAATGTAAACGTAACTATAACCTAGTTAAGATCTGTCCTACATATTTCCACATACTGCAAGTCGAGCTATGACCTAATTAATATAATGCAATCTAGCTTTACATGTAACTTTAGTAATAGCCTAGTTTCATTCCACTATTTTGCTTAAGTTAGCATAATAAGTTATTATAAGCCGATAGCCTGTGTTGCTAGTGCTCAATGTCTTTTTTTTAGTCTAAGAATTCATTTCATTAGTCTAAAATTAAAATAATAATAATAATAATAAGTTATTATATAAATTACTGACCACAGTTCAGTAAAAAAAATAATAGTAAGATTGTAAGTCAGAAGTAAAAGTATTCGTAATAAAGAATTAATCAAGACGCGCTCAAAATTGCACTTTCGATCTTGACAACTTTCATTGCTTAATTTGAAGAAATCTGCTGCCAAAGCCCACCAAACAAGTTCAAAAGCTTATAGTGATGCTGCTCCACCATATTCCAATTTTGGTTCAACGATTCAAATGTAGTGCTTTTGACGTCAATGACAAAAAACGACCTGGAGGCCCACAAAAAGTCAAAAACAATGAATTGCAAGACTAATTGGACGAAAGTCCATCTCAAACTCTGGAAAAGCTTTCAAGCAGCTTAGCAATGGATGAATCAACTGTTTGTAGGCGTTTACATGCGATGTGAACGACTCGAACGGAGGAAAAATGGCTACCCCGCAAATTGACTGAAAATGCCATTTTAGTCGGCTGTTGCAAGAGTTGCCCAGGGATACACTATTGCAGCTCGAATGGGATGTTCAGACCGACGCAGCGCAGGTTGGCAAACACACGGATCCGCAAAATTGAAGAAGCGTGATTATGGGCCGATGGATCGATGCCAAACCAATTTAAGTTCTTTTGATGCGATATCGCCGTGTTGCTAGAAATTTGGCAAACTGTTATAAAAAATTATGGAAAATATTTCGATCAATGTATATTTCATCAATTTTTCTCAATATATGCATTTTTCAAGTGGAAAAACTATCAAAATTAACGTAAATACACAATATTAATAAGATATTCGTTACCGCTTTGAATTTTATCAGAAAACATGAGTGGCATTACAAACTGGGCATAGTGAACAACTACAAATTTTTTTATCTCTTCAAAACTTAAATATGACCGAATATTATAACCTGTTTCATAAGCATCACTTAATTGTACTGACTCCAAATAAAACCCAAAACAATTTAATTTATCGAATGCATCATTTTCTGCGGCATGAGTCATTTAGCAAATCAATGCCAGCAGTAAACAAACAAATTCCAGAAAGCTGATTCAATTAGTACCGGCTAAATAAATTAACCCGAATATCTGAAATTGAGTAGTAGTCCGAAAAAGAATGAAAAGATAATTCAGGTCATTTAATATAGCATCACTTTGCAAAACGAATTGCATACCTGGAATTGCTTATCAAAATTCGCATTATTGCAGAAGGAATTATGATCTTCTTAATATATCAATACAATGAATACATTTAATGATAATGTAATGCAAAGAAGAGATACAAAAACTAAATAAAAGTAAAATATTTCGGAAACCATTATACACCTACTAATATAATGAATGATAATTGCTTGGGGAATATTTTTTTGTTCCTAAAAATTGCCCATGCATGCGGAAATCGGTCTGGCTCGTCGGAACGGTGTGCGTTTAGATCGCTAATTTGACACAAATATCCGCTCTACCAAAACTAATTATTTTGTTCGCGTGCACTCTCTAACTTTAAATTTAAAATTAAAACAACAAACAAAAATTAAATCGTCCTATACACCTATCCTAGCCCATAACTATTCCTAATCAACCTTAACATTTTCTTCCGGAAATCTTATCAAATCTCTAACCGTTCATCGTAAAATTTCCAAAAAAAAAAAATATATATATTCACAATTTCAGTATGTTATATATAATTTAAATTAAAGTTTTTCGAAAATAATTACAAATAAAATAATTTAATTTAAATAGACTATAGTTCATTTTAAATTTTTCTTCTTCTTTTTGTTAAGTTTAATTCCTAATAATCAAATCAAATTTATGAATTATTTAATCGATAATAAATAATGCCACATTTCTGTCGCATAAAACCAAGAAAGATTGTAAGACTGTAAAATTACATATATGGGCACGTCTTGATCACCCATGGACTCTTATGAGAAAAAGTTAGGTTGAAATACATCGCGCTTACTCAAAATTGCCTTCATTAAATACTTACCACTGGATAATCCATAGTAAAAAATGTTTGAAGATTGTGTTCTAAATTAGGGTCTACACCCATAAGCGGTTTTAATATTGAGACTCCCGGTAAAGGTGTTTCGTTTAAAAATGTGGACGATTTTTTATGCAATTTAAATTTACTAGAACCAAAAAAATATTAATCATTGTTTACATAGATGAAATTTAAAAAACTATTTTACCCATAACATATCGCCAGTAAATGCAAGCACCAAGTGCCGCACCAAAATATGAAAAAGAATATCGCAAATCCATAAAGCGGCGCAGGTAGATGTGACATTGTGATTTACAACCGGGGAACAATATGCCAAATTTCACGTAGCTCTTTTAAAAGTTGACTAGATTATTTACGTTTGTCCAAATAAACAAAAAACTAAAGTAAATGAAAATAGTTCATGCAAACATGCAGCCACTTCACAAATATGAACTATTAGAAAGACCAATTGATACAATTGCATTTAAACACATGTCGCATTGCTGATTTCTTCTTTCTCAGTGTTTGTTGCACTTTTGCACTATTATTTATTTCCCCTTTTTCATTAAAAAAGTGTGCTCTCTTTCACTATTTCAACTTAATACTTATGAAAGTTGAACTTGGGTGGCTCCACATTCCTTAACTTAGTACAAATGTTACATATTTCTTCACTTTATTTATACTTGTTTATGCACGCTTCTGAATATTTTCTGAACTGCAGGTCAAGCAGGCAGACAGGAGTACTTGTCGCCTCCACTTGAACTAATAATGGTAATTTCATATTTATAACCAGTTTTACTAGAACTTTTTATATAACCAAATGCATATAAGAATATGCATTTGATAAATTTTTTTTTAATGCACAATCCTAATTCCCTTTAGTACAGCTTTCCGCAGCGCAATTGTTTTGGTTTATTTTCAGTAATATGGAACCTCAAACTTCTATATTTTTTATTTTCTTCCGCGTTTTAACACAGAAAAATATATGCGGGTGTTTAAAATTTACGCAATGTTGTTCACTAAAGTCAACTTTCCGTATTATAATTTATTCTTATGTTCTTATATTTACTGCGCCTTCATCATAAGTGGGTCAACTCAAGGAGTCCACGATAATATTTCCGAGTTTGGGTAAAGAAATTAATTTGTTAATTTTATAGGAAACACAATGGCGCATAAGAGGCCTCACACAACGATGCGTCATTCGTATTTTCGGGATGAGATATGAACTTCACCGAGCTTTTCAAGGCTATGTGGGAATTGGCAATTCATACATTTTTGTACGTGCACCAGCAAAAATGATAAATCTTAGAATAATTAAGGACGTTATTTATCTAATTTATGTTTAATTTGTACTAATTTAAGTTTTTCTATATCATTTGAAGATTTGATTTATAAACGATATTTTATTATAAGATGTGAAAAACCAGCAACAAATTTTTAAAATATACGGTTTTGAAATCAAAACATTTAATTAATTTTTTTCTTTTATGTAGCTACACCAAGGAAGCCCGCCTCTCTTCTTTTAAACTGCTTTCCTTCTCGCTTTGTTTCAATAATCAATAAAAGGTTGAATTTGCTTTTGCATTATTTTTTTACACGTCCCAGCGAATTGGCGGAAGTTAATTTGATGGATGACAGAAGAAGAAGAAATTATTTTGGGTATCATTGTTACCAATATGTCGGTTGTTTACATATGATTGTATTTTCTACTTTTGGTTCTAAAACTTGCTTCGTTAACATGTGTAATAGTCTTTACAACGATTGGCTGTAGTTAACAAAAGTGGTCGATACAATAAATTACTAAAGGCAATGATTGCGTTATCCATTGTATGTACGAAACTTCAAAATAAATGCAGAAGAATATACAACTTGCGTTGCGTTGTGCGTGAACGCACATTTTTAGCGAACTTTTACAATTTGTGCTTGCGTCGCGTTTGACAAATGTAACAGCGATGTACTGTCGTGAAAAAGAGATAATTATATGGTTAAAAATTTAGATTTTGCAGCGTTTATATGCGTTTACTAAAAAAATTTCATGGTAACAAAACGGAACAACAAGGAAAGAGAAATTAGATTAAGTTACATTGGAAAAATTAAATTAAATCATTTAAAATATTCAATTGATTTAAAAAGGAAAAGGATTGATCAACACGATATATAAAAATATCCTTTTTTGCGTTTATGTCAACGGCGATAACGCCTCCACACCATTTCCATTACCATAACCAAAATAATTAAGCTGTCGCTATCCATCTCGTTTTGTCACTCAAATATCTCTTCATAAACCTATTAAAGATTGCAATTTAATTTTAAATACTATACATAATTCAAATTGGCTTCTGTTTGCACAAAAAAGCTATTTACCCTCTTCTTTCGTGATTTACTAAAAAAAAAAACGTGATTAAAACTATGTTTGACTTTTATTTATTAACTTTGCAATTCTTCACTATGTAACAAACGTTAGCCCTATAGTTATGATTTAGCAACATATGCAAGCTTGGTTTTGAACTTATTTTGCGTTTAGCGTTATTCGCTATAAATAACGTATAACACGATCATTATTCACGCATTTAAAACCCGCGCTTGCCTGCCTTACCACATCATTTTATTAAAATAAGTAAGCAAACCTATGTGTACGTGAACAACTAACATATGGATTGGAGGCAAAATTTATGATATCAATACAAAAATTAAGTTAGCCAGATTAGAGTGAAAACAAGTAGTCATTTTGAAATTGATAAATAAAAAAGAAAAGGAAAAAAATGACATGGCCTCATCGGAAACCCTTTCCTATCATTAATTATTCCATTATTTGAGCTTTATTCTTTAATGTAATACACTTAATAGAACAATTTGATAAATTCTTAGACTAAGAAAAGGACATTGAGCACTAGCAACACTGGCTATCGACTCTAATTTAAATAAATTGTTATTAGATAATGGCTTAGTAGTATTAAAAAAGTAATGTATTGAATTCTGTTCTGAAGTTGATTGTTGAATGTCCAAAGGGTTAATCGTACCAAATGCAATACTTCTCGCCAAGGAAAACTCAAGGCAGTCGCAGAGAATGTGCTTTATGGTGAGAGTTTGTCCACAACTGCAGATTGGGGAGGAAGACTTCTTCAAGATCCATTGGTGAGCTTCAATTGTATGACCAAGGTGAATTCTCGAAAATGTTTGGATTTTCATTTTCTCAACATTAGTTGGGTATAAAGGTGTTAAAGGAGTTAATTGAGGGTTAATGGAATAGTAGTGTTGATGATTGTAAATTGTAAATTGTAAATTTTCTTCTGCAATTTTCACCGTAACCTTTCTTCCAATGTATCTTTGAAGATCCAACTTTTCCATGACATCATCCATAATTAGAGGAGCAGAAGCAGCATGCTTTGCCGCTCGATCAGCCTGCTCATTTCCCAATAAACCGATACGACTTGGCACCCATAACATTTTAGTTTTTCCGTCGGGTGTTGTAATTATATTGCTTAATTTGTTGATGGTACTCCATCTCAAAGTCGAAGGATTCGGCATAGCTTATAATACAGACAAACTGTCGGTAACAATGACGGTTTTGAGTTTGTTTTTATGGGCAAGGTTCGCAGCGTGAAGGATAGCTCTGGCTTCGGTTTGAACGTTGAAGTACTTTCGTGATATATGTGATTGAGAAGAATCTGTCCTGTAGCATCTACCACGGCACAAGCAGGAGGCAGGCCAAAAGATTTTGAGCCATCTGTGTATAAAAGATTCCAACCAGTACTTTTCAATATTTGGGTTCTTTCAGCTATTAGATTCCTGAAGACGTAATTTGGAGTATTTTCTTTCTTGTGCATAGACAGCGAAATGTCAAAAGCGCAGTCTTTCAAAATCCAGGGAGGTTTAACACCAAAAGAGCGGAAAATTTTTTAAGAGAATATTCCATTTCTTTGCGACGTACAAACAATAGTCAGTTGCAGATGGTGATTTTGGAATTTTCTTCGCAATAATAATCTTTCTCACGTCATTACCGAGAATAGCTTTGTTTGAATTAAGAAACTTGGGGACTATTTTGGCTTTTAACTCATAAAGTCTATTTTCTAAAGTTGGGAGACCAGTTTCGATTATAATATTATTTATGGGCGTCGTCCGAAAAGCATAACAACTTGCTCCGACTGCTTGGTGGTAGACCGGTTTAAGAATGTTGATATTAGATTTGCAGCTATTGCCATAAATTATCAAAGCATAGTCAATCTTGCTTAACACAAGCATTTTGGTAAGATAAGCAATAGTGTTAATATGCGCATAGCTTCTCCAAGCAACGTACTGTATGAAATTCACCCTTGTTAAAATAGAGTTTTTTAACGCTGAAAGTGTGCTTTCCAACGATATTTGTTGGAAAAAGTGAGCCCAAGAATATGCAGTGTCGGCACATTTAGTACTGGTAAGTCATTAATATTCATCAATAGATTTCCTGCATCGCAAATCTGCTTTCGACAAATGTGCATTTTTTTAGAGTTTGCCCATGCGGAGATCTCTCGTCCAAAAATTCAAGGACGTTGATTGCCTTCGTGCTATCTTTTTCTTCTGTCAAAATGTATACGCCATCTGCGTAGAGGCAATGTTCCACTCTTGGTACACGACAAAGAATTTTGCTAATTTCGTTGAAGGCGATTTGGAAAAGCGTGACAGAAAGAGGAGATCCTTGTGGAATGCCATGAATGATTTGATGTAGTTGAAAAATTTGGGTCCAACATTCCATGATTTCAAGAGTCTTAAGATAACATGAAGACCAACTCTGTCAAATGCTTTTTCGAAATCAATTGAAAGAATTGTTACACGGCTTCGTTCGGAAATTGCAATATGTAACAGATCGGCGATGCACCCTCTACCCCGCTTGAAACCAACTTGTTGCTTTGTTATCAGATTCTTGGACTCAAGAAACCAAAATAATCTAGATGCCATAATCTTTTCTAATATCTTTGAGAGGCAAGATAAAAGAGAGATTGGGCGATAGTCCGATGCGATGGAGGCATTTTTTGACTTTGGGATTGGAACAACTTTAGCCAGTTTCCACATGTAGGGTATATGGCCAGTCAAAAATACGGTATTACATAGGTCCAGTAATTTCTTTTTACTAAATTTTGAGATAACGCTGATCATTTGGTATGAGATGCGGTCTAGACCAGGTGTCCTCCCCTTCAAATTGGAGAGACAACTTCCAAGTTCTAAGGTGGATATGCAATTTTTCAGGAACATGGCATATCTATGAATATTATATGAAGGAGATAATGGAGTCCTTTTATTTTCGATGAAAGCACTGGAGAAGTTGCTGTCAGAGGAGTATTCGCACCACACTTTTCCAAAGTAATTAGAATTCTCATCTGCATGAGTTAAAGTTCCATTGGGAGTGCAGATGGCAGAGATTTCGTTCAGATTTGAAGTCCCATTAAGTCTGTTGATTTTGTTCCAGACAACTTTCATTGATGTATTTCTGTGAATTCCCCTCAAAAAAAGTTCGAAACTAAGTGCCTTTGATTTTCGTAGTTCCTTCCTTCGTATCATAACAAATGATCCTGATCAGGACATCTCTTAAAGCGGTGCCATAGATCCACTTTATTTTTCCTCAGAAACAAAAGTGTATGGTTCCACCAAGGAACCCTAGCTCGTTTAAAAGAGGTGTTGGATTGAGGAATAGAAAGATGAGCAGCCGTGCGAATCGCTTTAGACATAATAGCAGCATCATGGTTGCAGTTCCCGTTAAATGGCTTTGAATTCAAAAATGACTCCATCTGTTTGGAGTAGCTGATTCGGTCCGCTTTATCTAGGAGGAATTTGGCCTGTTTTGCTAGAGTAACAGAGGACGATGAAAGTTTAAGATCGATTATGATTGGAAAGTGATCACTATTATGTAGATCATCAGAAATAGACCAGGAAACCAAAGGAATAAGTGAGGGAGAGCAACAAGTTAAATAAATATGTGAAAATGTATGATGAGTTGAAAAGTGCGTTGGTTTTCCATCATTTAAAATGCAGAGATTGTTTTGAATGAAGGCCTTTTCTAAAACAGTACCGCGAGTATTGTTCACTGTTGAGCCCCAGATGGTATTTGAACTATTAAAGTCGCTGCATATTATTATTGAAGGGGAA